TCTCTCTCTCTCTCTCTCTCTCTCACACACACACACACACACACACACACACGATGCGCAAAACTCCGCATTTGAACAGTCAATAGCAAATACTTAAACTAATAACGAAACAGTAGCTGATTCAGAAGCGCCGGATTGTCATAGCAAAGTCAGAATTACCTCCTCTCCTAGGTTCACGAAATGGTCGTCCATAAAATGCATTGCTGTTCTTAAAGATTCCTAAATGCATCTACTTTCAGAAGGCCAAATAAAGTGCTTTTGCTTTCACACTGAAACACACAGTTCTCCCTGACATGGCTGCTTCAACACTAACTGCGGTTACTGAAGCCACGCCTTCTTTCTTTGCGTGCACATTTGGGCGGCATTATGCAAATATTTCCACATAGTGAGGTAGATATGTGGGGGCGTGTTAGAGCGAGGTGTTTTAGGGGGCGTGGCAGAGTCTTAATTTTGATAAAGAATATCTCTTTGGTTTTGAGACTTTAGTCTTTGCAACTTCAGGGATCTTATCTATGCACAATCAGCTTGTAACACTCCAAAGAGAAAGGAAAACTTGAAATCGCATCATATGACCCCTTTAAAGATCTGCTCTTACTATAAATAAAAGGTGGATGATAACTGTTGCTAGGTGTCTATAATAAGATTATGCAATTCTTTAGTTATTTCAAAAGTAATATAATGTGGTGCCATACACTGCATTTATTATTTTGTATTATATTGTGTTTTGTTATATTGTATTGCATTGTTATATTTTATTATATTATATTACATTACATTATGTTATATTTAGTGCTGTCAAACGATTAATCGCATCCAAAATAAAAGTTTTTGCTTACATAATATATGTATGTGTACTGTGTATATTTATTATGTATATATATATATATATATATAAATACACACACATACAGTATATATTTTGAAAATATTTACATGTATATACATTTATATTTTATATTATACATAAATATATTTAATATATAAACAACATATTTTTGTTAAATATAATATTTAAATGCATATATACATGCATGTGTTTGTATTTATATATACATAATAAATATTCACAGTACACACACATATATTATGCAAAGAAAAACTTTTATTTTGCATGCGATTAATCGCGATTAATCGTTTCACAGCCCTAGTTATATTATAGTATATAACCGGGGCCAAACAGGAAATAATAAACAAGTTGCACAAAACTTATAACAATATATTCAGGATTATATATTCAATTAGAGAACAATTAATAACTACTTGATTTTTTTTCTGAAATATTGTTAATCTTCATCACGCAAAATTTGAAGAAATATTAGCTGTAGGTATACCACTGTTCCACTAATATATTTTCCAACAAAATTTCCAAGGCATTTCGACAAAAACCTTTATTTTGTGAAAAACACAGTGATCAAAATGAGAGAACAGTAACCACTGTAGCAAGAAAGATGATTACAACAAAAATTTTGGAGGGTTACAGCTGTCAGTAATGAGTAGGAAGTGTAGAGGCCCCTGCTTTGAGTGACTTCAGCACATCTGCGGCCGCGGGACAGCACTAGTTTCTCACACTGCACTGCTGTGATCTTGCTCCACTCTTCTTCCACTCTCTTCCACAGTTCAGTAACTGTACTGGGTTTCTTAGCCATAACTTTGTCGCCAAGGATTTTCCAGAGAATTTCAATCAGGTTTAGATCAGGACTCTGGGCCGGCAATTTCATTATTTCAGTGTTCTTAGCTTCAAGGAACTGCTTTAGCTGTTTTGCTGTGTGACAGGGACATTGTCTTGCATGAAAATTGCAGGCTGATTGGGAGATGCTTGCAGGGAATGAACTGCATGTTGCTGAAGCAGGTTCTGATAAACATTTGCATTCACTCTGCCATGTAGCTGTATAACAGGCCCAACAAACATCCCACAAACCATGACACTTCCTCCTCCACATTTCACTGACTTCTTCATGCACTTGTGGTTCAGTTTTTTCCACAGTTTGACACTGAATATAATGTTTCCCACTAGACCCAAATAAATTATAGTTGCTCTCATCACTAAAGTGAACTTACATAATATATGTATGTGTACTGTGTATATTTATTATGTATATATATATATATATATATAAATACACACACATACAGTATATATTTTGAAAATATTTACATGTATATACATTTATATTTTATATTATACATAAATATATTTAATATATAAACAACATATTTTTGTTAAATATAATATTTAAATGCATATATACATGCATGTGTTTGTATTTATATATACATAATAAATATTCACAGTACACACACATATATTATGCAAAGAAAAACTTTTATTTTGCATGCGATTAATCGCGATTAATCGTTTCACAGCCCTAGTTATATTATAGTATATAACCGGGGCCAAACAGGAAATAATAAACAAGTTGCACAAAACTTATAACAATATATTCAGGATTATATATTCAATTAGAGAACAATTAATAACTACTTGATTTTTTTTCTGAAATATTGTTAATCTTCATCACGCAAAATTTGAAGAAATATTAGCTGTAGGTATACCACTGTTCCACTAATATATTTTCCAACAAAATTTCCAAGGCATTTCGACAAAAACCTTTATTTTGTGAAAAACACAGTGATCAAAATGAGAGAACAGTAACCACTGTAGCAAGAAAGATGATTACAACAAAAATTTTGGAGGGTTACAGCTGTCAGTAATGAGTAGGAAGTGTAGAGGCCCCTGCTTTGAGTGACTTCAGCACATCTGCGGCCGCGGGACAGCACTAGTTTCTCACACTGCACTGCTGTGATCTTGCTCCACTCTTCTTCCACTCTCTTCCACAGTTCAGTAACTGTACTGGGTTTCTTAGCCATAACTTTGTCGCCAAGGATTTTCCAGAGAATTTCAATCAGGTTTAGATCAGGACTCTGGGCCGGCAATTTCATTATTTCAGTGTTCTTAGCTTCAAGGAACTGCTTTAGCTGTTTTGCTGTGTGACAGGGACATTGTCTTGCATGAAAATTGCAGGCTGATTGGGAGATGCTTGCAGGGAATGAACTGCATGTTGCTGAAGCAGGTTCTGATAAACATTTGCATTCACTCTGCCATGTAGCTGTATAACAGGCCCAACAAACATCCCACAAACCATGACACTTCCTCCTCCACATTTCACTGACTTCTTCATGCACTTGTGGTTCAGTTTTTTCCACAGTTTGACACTGAATATAATGTTTCCCACTAGACCCAAATAAATTATAGTTGCTCTCATCACTAAAGTGAACTTTGGACCAGTTCTCCTCTCTCCACACAACATGCTCCTCAGCAAAGGTGAGCCTAACTTTTTGATTCTTTCTGCTGATGAGAGCTGTTCAGCACTGAACAGGCAAGCAATTCCAGCTGCAGTGCTGAACCGATTCCCCACTGAGAGTCTCCACATTGTCTTGTCTTCTCATTTGTCTTATGTGGATGACCAGCCTTTTTGGGGGACTTGAATTAGTGTCGTTGTAAAGCTGCAGTATTCTAGAAATCACAGATTTGGAATGACCAGTTTCTCTTGCAGTGGCTGAAAGGGTCATCGATTTAGCTTTTATCTGGACAAACTTCTGGCACAGGGTTTCAGTCACCTTAGAGTGCCCCACAATTTTTGCTGCCAGTTAAATAGGGCATGTCTTATAATTAAGGAAATTAGCACCAGGTGCCAGATTAACACCAATAACTTGGAGGTATCTGTAAGTGTTCTCTAATTTTGATCACAATTGTTTTTTTAAATGTGCTTCAGAATACAATTAATTTACTGTTATACAAATCTTAAGCAATCTGGACCAACAGCACAGGACAATAAAATTCAAACGGACAGCAAAAGTTTCTCGATGGAAGTCCATATTCTAAATTGATGTCGAAGCATTGAAGGATTCAAAAAACAAAAGGATTTTGATTCTATGTCAATGTCCTGTTCTGGAGTCATTTGGGTGCCGCGGGTGTCTTTTTAAGAGTACTTATTAGGCTACTGAAATAATATAATTAAAAAGAAGGATACACTTAAGAGTGAAAATAGTTTTCAGACACTTAATTAGATTTTAACTGGAATTAAATGAAAATGTATTTGTTTGCATTTATATTAGATGCAGTTTGAGTAGGACTTATATATATATATATATATATATATATATATACATTTTTATAATTATTGCTTGTTTGGCTGAACATAAAAATATAAATATGATTTATGACACTACTTAAATGCAGCATACCTTGTCTCTGTAGTCCAAACGGGCCATAGTCTCTACCTTGTATAAAGCCTTGAAACAAGTATGTGTTTCCTTCATGGTCAGCAGAGACCTCGAGGAGAACAACAACACAGAGATGAACATCAAGTTCTCTCAAATTCTGAAAAGAGCAGATGTTCTGTGCAATGTTACAGGATATTGCTCTCTGAATACATGTTTTCTTTTACTGCAAAGTTTAAAAATAGCCAGAGATGTGTTTTTTGAACAAATACGACAGGGCACTATTGCACCTGAGAACAAATCTATGTTCTTTTACTGCTTGGAGAACTAAAGTTTCCAGCTTAAACACAGTATATTCAACCCATCAAAATGGTAAAAAATTGCACTGTTTTCTTTAGTAATAAGAACAAAACCTGGCAGTTGAGCAAGACTATGAACCATGCAGCTTGTTGTTAGTTAGAAACTCTAAATCGCATTCTAGTCCACTTACAAAGCCGTCCATGATCAAGGTCTCCTCAGTGATCTTGCTGTAGGTACTCTTCACCAGAGCTCTCATGTGATACAGCCGCAGAGTCAGACGAGCATCTCGACTCTTGTAAACACCTGCGTTCAGACCACAAAACATTAAACATATCTTGCGTTGCATTCACTTCATTGAGTACACCTGCTCATTAATGAAAATGTACTGGGATTAAAATTTACAATAACAAAATTCAACTGATACGTGGTCACAGGTGTGTAAATATTGGCTACTTTAAAACAGCTTTGAATGCGGCTCGTCTAATTAGAGGTCTGAACTGTCCGCTTTATAATATTAGTTTCGCAGTTTTGTCTTTTGCATTCAGCTCAAGTGGTTCATAACATGAAGATTTTGCATTGATGTCAGACTTGTTATGAATAATCTAATATTTTGGTTTGTGTCCAGGTTCCAAATAAAGAGAGAAAACTAATTAAAGGAGATGATTTATACATTTTTAATTCACTGGATCATCCAAAACAGTGATTACCACATGGTTATTAAATATATATAAACAGTATTTTATGCATACATTTTTTTCCAAGGATAGTGTAAGTAAGATTTTTGTTTTTTAAAGAAATAAATATTTTTATTCAGCAAGGATGCATAACATTAATCAAACTGAAGTGGCAGTTAAGACATTTATAATGTCACAAAATATTTATATTTCAAATACATTCTGTTCTTTTGAACTTTCTATTTATCAAAGAATCCTAAAAAAAGGCATCTCAGTTTCCAAAAAAAAAAAATTTGCTTTCAACATTTAAAATAATATTAAATGTTTCTTGAGCAGCAAATCAGCATATTAGAATGATTTCTGAAGGATCATTTGACACTGAAGACTGGAGTAATGATGCTGAAAATTCAGCTTTGCATCACAAGAATGAATTATATGTTAATATATATTAAAATAAAAAACAGCTGTTTTAAAATTGTAAATATATATATATATATATATTCTGTTTTTACTTATTGTTGATCAAATAAATGCAGCCTTGGTGAGCATGAGAGACTTTCAAAAACATAAAAAATTCTTACCAACCTAGTGAAAAATAAATATACTAAAATGTGTTTTTGAAATACATTTATTTTATGCAAAGTATACTACAAATACATTTACATATTTTTATGTACTTAATAAAAATACCCTGCAATTGTACTTTTGGTATACTAAAATGGTATACTTAAAGTCTGCTAAATTGGAAGAACTAATCTTGTACTTAATGCACTTTAATTGTGCAGAAGTAGTGCTGAGGTCCAGATAAATATACTGAAGTATATTTGATTGTGCTAAAGTGGAACTATTACAAGTATAGGTACATTTTAAATATCCTGCATTTAAAGACTGATATTATTCAAAGATCATACAATCCTCATCAATAGTGACATTAAAACACATTTTAGGCTTAATATTAAGAAATGTGCATTGTGCACAAGTAGTTCTCCAAATAAAGTTCAATTATATTTTTTATATCAGTAAATCTCAAATGATATGCAAGGAAATATGTTAACAGATTTTAACTATACTTATAAATGTTTAACATATAACACATAACATATTTTAAATGTGTTACTTTTTTACTAGGGCAAACACAAACTTTTGAACAGCTGTCAGTACGATGATGGTGTACTTCAAAAAGTTTTGGTTATACTACTCTTTTTTTTAAATGCATATTTACTCTTCCATATACTTGTGAATATAGTGGCTCTTGCAGTCTTTAAAGAGGACATCGGATGCCCATTTTCCATAAGTTGGTATGATTCTTCATGGGTCTTCATGAAATGTCTGTAACATACTTTGGTTAAAATTTCTCAATGGAAACTGTTCACAGCGACCTGTTTTGGTGCATGTCTCTTTAAATGATAATGAGCTCACCCCACCCCTCTCTTCCATGGAGCATGTCGACACAAGACGCATGAATTGCTGCCTTGGACTCTGTATATGGCTCGGAGGGGGTCTTATTCAAATAGCTAGGTATCTATGTAGAAAATGGCTACAGATTGAAACGGCTGGCTGGATGACACAGTTTCAGACTCAGACAGCCCACAACAAACTGACTGCGTGTTTTCTTTTCAGCTTCTCTGAGCTGGCAAACACGCCAGAAATCTAACTGAATACAAAAAAAAAAAAATCCGATGTCCCCTTTAAGAAAAACTGAGCACTAAAGGCACATCTTGTATTAACAGTAATTGACATTTCCCCCAAAACTCCTGACATGAGCTGTTCTGTCTAACAGGTGAGCTTACACAGAGCAGAGGTTTGCTTACAGCAGGTTAATGCACTGCTAGAAGTGTTTATGACATGAGCTGTACTGTGCGGCGCTGCCATTATGGCTTCTTACCTGACAACAGCAGTTCTGAGTGCCTGTTAGTTAAAGTCACATTGACTTTCCCCGTAGTCGCGTTAAAGCTAGTGATTGTCAAAGTCATCGGCTGTTTCATTCCTTTATACTCAAACGAACCTTTCCACACGTACGTGGGCGCGAACATGTCGTCAGGAACTGCAACGAGAAGATTTAATGTGGCAGAAGAGGTTAAGAAGCCATTTACACTGTGCGTTAGGTGCAATTAACACCTCAAACTCTTTTCGGAGGATCTGACTGTGAATGACCTCAGAGCAGAAATGATAGCGAGCTCATTCTCTGCTTTAATAGTGACATCAACAATGTTAATAAAGCAATATGCTGTACTAGAGATTCTAAAACTGTGATCCAAGTTGTAAAAAGCTTGCTACATAAAGTTACTTCATACTGTAATCACACTTGCTACAGCAAATAAATAATGAACTATATTATATAAGAATTAACAACAACAATATATGTGGATTTAAAGATATATAATCAGATTTGTGTAATCATTTCTTGTTTAGCATAATACATATAAATGTGAAATTATTAAATGTAGTATACACTGTCTCTGTAGTGCAAATGGCAATAGTCTCTCCCTTGCATATGGAATTAGGTGATTTTTAAAGTTTTAATTCTATGGATGATTACCACCCAGTTATTTTATATATATATAT